TTCTTTCAGAGTAAATTGATAAAATAGAGTAAAAAGAAAAAAAAACAAATTCATCAAAAGACGAAACTCATCTCAACAATATTGATAAATAATGATTTAAACAAAATTATAGATCAACAATATTATTAAAGATTAGTGTTCGATCTGAGATAGAAGATTGGATTTTTTTTCTAACCAAAGAAAGTTTTTTTTGAAAGATCAACCTTTTTTTTTTAATGAATCTATCCCGATTAGTGTTAAAATTGAAAAGAACGAAGTGATTATCTCATCTAAAATTTGTGTGTACATTATGTCTATACCTCGACTATGATCAGTTTATTGTTATCTTTCATCATCTAATGTCAAATATTTTTTTTACCGATCCAAATCGGACACTATTAACGACAAACGATAATTTAAAGTAAATGAACAAAAAATTATGACTCTTCGATGAATTAAAAGATTCTTTATTAATTGATATCAAAGACTTTTTATGAATCTATTTAAAACAAAGATATGCAAATGTCAGGCTGGACTAGACTCAGTTGGATTGTTCAGCTCGTGCAAAACCGAATAAAAAGATTAAATTGACGACAGATAATCAAGAAATACATGAGAGAATAGCTGAAGAAGATAATAATAACGCAGTTTTAAATACATTTTTCAACATTTCTTTTGTTCTTTTTTCCTGTTGCTTACTTAAATACGAACATATTGTTTATAAATAAAAATCTAAAGCCAACACATTTTAGACAGGTGACATTTTAGCTATTCCAGGGAGAACTTTTATATGCAGCCATCTTCCGAATGGCATCGTCCTTTCTAATTCTACCATGATCGACCGACCAACACAAATCACAGTAAAACTTGCTTTTCGATTTGAGATCTACAATAGTTCAACGTAATCAAATACTGTTGTCCTCTTCAAATATCCAAACTTGAAAGAATGTTCCTTACTGATGGTATTGTCAAGAATACCTGTTGAAAGTTAAGTAGCGATATCACTATTTATATTTCTTTTAAAAACTATGAATAGTTTCTGGATCGTCCAGAAATTCAAAAAAAAAGCAACTAGTGCCAAATGGATGGTCATAGTGCTTCATTTAATGATCAACACGTATTTTAATGACCTTTTCTCATTATTCACTTGATAGAGATATATCATGATCGTTAGTTTGAAATGAATTCAGCTGAAACATATAGTAAGAGCTATATCTTGATTCCGGACATTTTCTTCCTCCAATTAAGCAACAACGTTCATAAGGCAGAAGACTACGAGGTTTGTGACGCTTGCTTCTTACAATGTCTGACTTGATATACTTTGAGGACTGATTTCTAGAATGATTCGATCTATTCCAGATTCTGTTACTATGGACTGATTATAATTAAGCAAAAAAACTTCAGAAGATTGGAAAATGTTTTATTGTCTATTCGCTATTCGTTAGATATGAAACAAGTGAACAAAATTACAGAAAATTACATATTGACATAAAAAGATGATATCGTTTTCCGTGAATTCAACCGTCATCCAGCAATCATTGCAGGTGAAGAGCGTTCGATCTGAAGGTGTCGTCGTCTCCACTTCATTCGTCGTTCTACAAACCACTCACGTATTTCGGACTCGTTGATTCGTAATTCATGAGCGAGATCTTCGCGTCGGTGTAGATCTGGATAGCGACATTGAGCAAATATCGCCTCTAACCGTGCTAGCTGCCATGGAGCAAAAGCGAAACCACGAGATTTGTTTTCACCGTGGTATAAGCGACAAAGAAATCGACGAAGCTCATTAGTTTCACAGATATCTTTGAACAGTGCTTCATATCCTTGAGCGACGATATTGAAATCACAAATACCGTACTGCAGGCAGAACCAGCACGGCGAAAAGCTCGTCTCGACCATGTCTAGAAAATAAGATTATCAGAATGAGAACAGCAGTGTCCAAGGACTGAGAAATAGGAATTCCTAATTTGCAGAGGACTTGTCAGTGTAGCTATGATAATTCCTTGGGAAAATGGAAATTGACCATTATTTCCATCACAGTTCCCTCATTCATGAAAGTCAAGATAATGCTTTTTTTGCAATAATTTTCGTACTCATACGTTCATGTGCACAAATTTCTCGATGAAAACGAGTGTAAGAGTAATAAGTATCATGGATATTGTATTTTTTTAATTTTAGCATTCAAGGAAATGTCAGGGAACTGAGTAGGAATTCCTATTCCTCAGTCCTTGGATATCCCTCCATATTTCTGTTTTGGACAAATCGAACATCTGTAGTTCAGCTTGAGTGAAGCAAAAACCTACTACCTGAATATCGCGTCGGTTCGTTGTCCATTGTAGTCGTTTCGGTAACGTATCTCGCGCCAACTGCTGGAACAGTGCGAATTCGAATGACTGTCACTGACCGACCGCACACGTATATATAGAAAATGTGCAATCGGTCAAAGTTTACGAAAAATGGTCGTGGTCAGTCTATTTCCAGTTATGCAGATGTTCAAGACAAAAACAATAGTTGAGCATTGTGTTCCATTGGTCGAAAAATAGCAATAGGTCGCGACCTCCATGATGAGGTCACTCGACAGAATGGAAAAGAAAACATTGATTCGATGAAGAGATATACGATGAACTGATGGATAATGCCGGAAGAAAAAAAAACGAGGAGAGCTATAAGCAAATGTGAACAATTGTGGCAAAAAACTGAGAATTGGTTTGTCGAGGTCAATACTAGTGGTTGGACATTCGATGTCTGAGAAAGCTAAGATACAATCGTCATGCGTATGCGCCATTTTGGATTGGAGTAGTAGTCCTGACTGCGCTATCTCTGTATTGATAACAAAAAGAAATATAAGAGAGATGGAGAGTGAAAATAAATAGATTTCTTTTGACTTAGACGTTACTTTTAATCGAGCAAAATATATTACTCATTCTTTATAAAGAAGCATACTATGGTCTTATCCAGAGAATTAAAATAGATTTTTTTAAGAAGGATTCAAAGTATGACAGCGAGCACAATACGTTCTCCGTACTAATCAAATATCTTCGTTTGATTATTTTTTTATTGAGTGTGAATGGATGTCTTTGATAACTAATAGTGTGAGCTTTACGATTTTCTTTCTAATCAAATCAATTTCCAGTATTGGCAATTTTTCTGTTAAAATATTATCTTTATTATAACGAGTTTGAAATCAATCAACAATGCAAAGTAACATTGTGTCAATCACATTTCACAGTAACTTTCTTGTATTTCTACTAAAACTGAAACTGTTAATGATCATAATCATTATTTTGAAGAATTCGTTTGATGTTTCAATGGACTGAAGATGAATGTTTTATCAGTGCATGTTTTTTTCGATGATCAAATAATTGATAAATGGTCAATAATCCATTGAGAAATTCATCAAATAATCTGCAATATCGTGCAATTACATTCATTATTTTTTAATGAATTTTCAAAATTGGCTACATAATTAGCCAGTAACGCTCGTTGATACGACTCGCTCGATGTTTGACTGAATAAAAATCATTGTCAGATAAATCATGGATAAGTATGAAACTCGGAAACTATCAACGATCGACTGCGAATGCTTGTGTACGTACAAGCTTTAGACGAATGTTAGGAAGAGTCGATCATCTTCTCAATAATATCATATTATTCATTGTTAGAGGTATTTGCCTTCTCATTATCATATTGTTATTCTTCTTATGTTTCACGTTTTTGTTTTTGTTCGAATTCGTGACCATATTTTCTTATTCTCATTCAGGTTTGAGTGTGGATGTGCGTTAAGAGAAGACTCACACCCACACCCTCAAATCAGCTTGAAAGATACTTCATTTGACTCAGTTTTTGATGGTGAATCTGAAAAAAAGTATTTTTAGAAGCTTGCAAGAAGAAGAAAGTAGAAAATTTTGGACATTTAGAGAAAGAACGTGTTTTTCTCGAAAAACGACACTTTTCGAGTATTTCGTATTTTTCGACCAGAAGGAAGCATTTTCTAAGGCTAAAAAGTAGTTTTTCGTGGTCAGTAGCTCAAGTTCTATCCGATGATGTAAAAAAAAGCGCGAAAAAAAAATTTTACTTGAAATTCGCATTGCCGGCACCTTACATGTATTATTTGATTACCATCATTGTCGTCAAAGTTGAATGAAAAAATGCGATATGCTACATTTGATAATTGTTGACAGAAAAATTCAAATTGTTTTTTCTTTTTAAATATCTTGTTGAAATCGAATCGAAAACTAGAATAGATAAGGTAAATAGAATGAAGACGTCGATTGACGAAACATATTGATGAAAGAATATCAATGATGGATAGATGGTCCAAAATATGTCCAATTAACTCAATAGGTAAAATACTTATATAATGTAACATTTTGAATGTGTTTTTATTCGCAAGAAAAAAATCTCTCTATTTATGTATGCAAAACAAACAATAACCATCGAACTCGTCACTTCAATCATTCAGATGGATTATGTATAATTTCAATAATATTTTTCTAGAAGTGATATTTCCTAGATAAATTAGACTGTTTGTTTCTGTCTATGACATATTTCGTCCTAGGAAACTAACAATTGTTTTTCGAGAACAGGATCTGTAGAAACGTTCAGACTTCTATTCGAATTGTAATTGATCAATTTATCTTTTATTTTGCTTGACTAGAAAATCTAACACATAATAAAAGGAAGGATATTATCGATGAATTCACTCATTTTCCTTCAATCTTCCTCAGAAAACCTTAAATCAAAATATACTAGTGATTATTTCAACTAGCTTTATTAATCCTGAAAATATCATCTCGATCGGTAAACGTTTTGTAAAATGTGTTCGAACTCTTATAGAACTAACCTTATATATGTTCGCGTCCCAACTCGGATTCAGGTCAATCTTAGATCCGAGTTTGAATGTTAACATATATAAAGATAATCGATATTTCTTTATGTTCTTATTTAATATCATTGTCCAAAATACAAGATTGGTTCCATTTTGTAATTTATTGAATGAACAAATCAAAACAACATTTTATTCATAACAAAGGAAAGTAAAGATAGAAATCTTTTGTATGTGCTAATTGTGTGATCAGAATTAATCGTTTTATATTAGCGCAATTGCGTCGCGTTTCTTCTCTTGTAAAGTTTTTTGTTACAATTCTTAAATCATTATAAACAACTCTTAATTGGGTCAGACATGGTACATATGTCTTTTTTTCATTTAGAAATTCTTCAACATAATCATGATGTGCACAAAATATATCAAGTGAGATAAGACGAGGATATACAGCGGTTGCATATAATTGATTATTCTCAGTTGCAAACATATTAAGATTTAATGATGATTGTGAATAAATATTCATAATACGCAAATTCATTATTAATGGAAAATTTTGAGAAATTCGAATGAAAAATTGATGGTCGAATGGAACGACATCTTGTATCAACAAATATGTAACATAACTACATTTAATATTTGGAAATGTATTACCAATATCTTCGAGATGATCGAATTCAAAGGAAATTGATAAAATAGAATAGACAATTTTATTCCCATGTATAGAATGAAGAGTATTAGCAACCGGTTGTTGTTTGATATTTGTAAATGTTTGTTGAATATCTTTATTAGATATATTATGTTGTAAATCAACAACATTCATATATGTACAAATATAAAAAGTAAATGAGTGAAGCCATGGCATATAAACAAGAATTTCATTTTCAAGATGAGTATCATCAATAAATCTATTACGATCATCTATACGCAAATATAAAGTTAATTTTTCTAGACATGACATTCGACGCAAAAGTGGTAAAATTGTATAATCATATGAAACAATTAACCAATAAGATTTTAATGAGAAACATTTCAAATTACGTAGATTGTCCTAAAAAATAAAATATATTTCTTAATTAAACTAAAAAAAATTATAGACGATATTTAATCAATTCCATTTTGCAATTTTAAAATAAGAAATAATGACTTGAACTTCTACCCCTTATGTATAGTCAGAACAAATGATAAAATTCATTGTATTTAATATCTTTGTTAATTCACATAACATATAAAATAAACTAATTATTATTAAGATATTTGATAAATCGCTATATGTACACATCTTTTTCGACAAATAAATGTCCACAGGTCCCATAAAATGTGTTGAGAATTTAAGATGTAAAAATTACTAATGCACCCAAAGGTCAGATTTCAGAATATATTTCATCAAATCTATGCTTTAGATTCATTTTTCTCTTTTTTTTTCGAATTTGTCTATACCTAGATACAACTCAATGTAATTTATCTAAGGATATAAGTTTATATATACATATATATATATAGTGTTTTACGCCTATTATGATTTCAAATACTACAAAAACCAACTAATTCATTAAAATTAACTATAGTTAGTTTTTTAAGATATAAACAAATGAAAACTTGTAGAATTCGTCTTGTTCGAATCGATATTTAATGAATAAATGTCCACTGAAGCCTTCAGTTACAAAACTAGAATCCGAACGGATGTCGATGATTGACATATAATCGATTTTGGACTCTCTAATTCAATTAGATTTCCACACTCATTTTAACATTATTCATTCTTTCATATTCTAATCAGATCTATTAAGATCAAAGAAATTGATATCGAATTCTATCTAGATTCATCTATTCAATTGTGTAATCTAAGTTATAAATCTTCTCCGACTCAACAATACGATCTCTATATGTTCGTTTACAGATACCAATATATTTTTCCAACTATTTGAAAAATCTTAACAAATTGTTCTTCCCAAATCATAGAGCTTTTCACACTGAATTTTGCATTATAGTTGATTCTATTTAATTATATTAAGTGATGAAAAGATGCAAGGAATTACTCGTGTAGAATAAAACAAAAATGAACTTTTCACATCGTCGAAAATTAGTTACATAGTAATTTCCTCTTTTTGAAGAAAAATGCACATTTAAGTTGACCATTATTTTGTAAATTGTTGAGTTTTTCACGGTGCATCGTCTCACATATGTTATCTTTTAATACAACTTATTAATCGATGAAAAACTGAAATTATGCGGCTGATTAATGTATCTGACCCCTTATTTTGTAAAAAGGAAGAACGTAGGTAACAAACTTTCTTCATTCGTTCTTACTTATTCAGCTAGAATTCTCATTTTCATATAATAAGTAGACTTTCAAATAATTCTCTACTAGTTCAGATTATTAAAGTACTATCAAAAATATATTAATAGAAAAAGTGACCAGAACTAATAGCTTTCATACCTTATCCCCCTGATAACTTCCGCTTACACTCTTATTTCATCAATATGACGCGGCTCATACTCCAAATAAAATCTCTCGAAGTGTACATGGAAGTGATGTAGTCAAGATGGATGGGAAAAGAATGAATTAGACCAAAGTCCTTGCAGAAAAAAACCACCTGACGGAAAGTACGGGGAGCTACATTTTCGTGAACAGAAAATGGTTTTTTTTTTAACGGTGGTTGGTCCTCTCCTCAGTAAATTTCTGTCTCTGCCTCTCGTTTATGTGACTGCAACTCTCTGCGGCAGAAATGAAAGTGATAATTTCATGGTACTATTCTATTTCCTACTAATCTTCTACTTTTCCATATGCCATTCAATGAAAATTTTACACATTAGCAATTTTTTAGAAATTCATTCTATATATTCTTGTTGTGTGCAGAAATGTTAATCCTTATAGAATGTAAATTCTACGAATAGAAAAGAAGATTTTTTTATTATTAGTAGTGCTTTGGTAGATATTTGCTCAGGAACAGTGCATATCTAGAATTTTTTCCTAGTCAAAAATATACTACGTATACTGTAAAAGAGTAATGCAACCAGTTAGCTCTAGCTAGACACGTGATGGAAACCTAAAATAATTTTTCTTCATGAGAAAATGTTCTGATTACAGTTGTGTGAATATGGGAGGGTGTGGGTGTGGGTGGGTGTGGGTGTGGGTGGGTGTGGGGTGTGGGTGTGGGTGGGTGTGGATGTGAGTGTGTGGGTGTGGGTGTGGATGTGGAGTGTGGGTGGGTGTGGATGGGGTGTGGGTGTGGATGTGGATGTGCGAGTGTGGATGTGAGGTGTGGGTGGGGTGTGGGTGTAGGTGTGGGTAGGGTGTGGGGTGTGGGTGTAGGTGTGGGTGTGGGTGGAGCGTGGGTATGCTTTTCTATTCAAGTACACCCACACCTCGTACCACACCCATCCATACCCACACCCCACTCACACCCCACACCCACACTCACACCCCACACCCACACCCACACCTACACCTACACCTACACCTACACCCACACCCACCCACACTCACACCCACCCACATCCACACCCCGAGATTCGGAACGAATGGTTCTCTCTTCCGAAATATGTCCCGTCACTAAGTAATACATCATTGAATGCAGAATTAAATTCTGCATAAAATGATGTATAAATGATGGACGGGACATATTTTTGAAGAGAGAAAATAGCCGTTGAAATACTTCAACGGTGTATTTTTTTTCTCTTGTGGCAATATTCGGAAGGAATGGTTCTCCATTCAGAAATATCTCCCGCTTATGAGTTATGCATCATTCGATGCAGAATTAAATTCTCTAGAAGTAGACGTATAACTCATGTCCGGGCAATGGATAGTGTGGTGCACATATCGATTTTTATGAAAATTGTGCACTTTTGTTTCGTCGTGCTAGCTTCACACGCATTTCTGTTGCTAAGGCCGCCATTTGCAAAGAATTGACCTCCGCTTGGAGTTTTTTCCTTTTTGGATTTTATGATTGGTGATTCATACGACCAATCAACTTTTGTGGCTCGTCGTGGTAATTCGTTGTGTTGTACTGGCTTCACATCGATAAACAACTTGCAAAAGTGAATTCTGTCATTTTCGATAGTCTTTCTCTGCTGACATTGTCAATTACAAAACATTTTCGCTGCTGTTAAAATAAAAAAAAAGTTTTATATTTCAATATTAAGTCGTTCATTTACTTATATATATTATATTTCAAACTGTAACCGTTTTCATTTCTTCTTCAAACACAAATAATCTCTAGACAAAAGTACTCATGTTTTTCGTCAATTATAGGGCTGTAAACCTATACTTTAATGTAGTGTCCTGCAAGTCGGTCGGGTCCGGATATATGGTCATACCTGAACCCGACCCGGCTATTAAAAAAACCTCAAATTTTGAAAATTTGAATTTTGCGAAGTGGTTCTGATATAGGGAAAATGGACTCAAAATCAATTAGAGGTTAGTTCATAAACTTATTATTCATCAAAAAAATAGCTCATTCATAGAGGGAAAAATGGATTTCCTTTCGTTTCGATCTATGTATCTTTCGAATGGCACAAATAAAATTTTACGTCTACTAGTATTAACTCTTCTCAATATGAAATACCTCGAGAGATAAAAAGAAGATATTAAAGAAAGAATTGAGCAACACGTCTTTCAAACATGCAGAACATCGCTAACAGTCGCTGAATTGTGGACAGATTTATTTATTTTTGTATCTAAAACGATGAAAAATCCGTCATTCATTTTGTATACATCTCATCGAATATTGCATTTTTTCTGAAATGAATTAAAGGATTTATTTTATTCCTAAAAACTCTTGTGAAGTATATCGAGTACCAATATTCAAGTCGGGTTCGGGTTGGGTTGGAGTCGGGTACAGAAAAACAGTGCCGCGTCCGGTCCGGGTACAAAAATGCGTACCCGTGCAGGACTCTACTTTAATGAGGCAATATCAGGTTTCAAGATCGGAACATTAAAAAGTGTCTACCACATTATCAACGTGCATAAAATGTGTCTATTTGAAACTAAATGATGCCACCGTGAATTGGAATTAAATTTGTTTAAGATTATATTTGATAACTTACCAATAAAAATAACTTTTAAATGAAGATAATGTATTGTTCAAGTAACAAACAAATGATAGTTCAGATATTTCTTCCAATAGTGAGTCGAGTTCTCTTTTAACAGAAAATTGTTTCTCCCTTTATATATATTGTTGAGCTGATGAATGCGATAATTCTCAGTCAATATGGGGAAAAAACCGGCAAATGCGTCAAATCATATTAAAAGAAGCCATTGAAAGTATATAGAAAAAACGGGCAAGCGCGTCAAATCATGTTGGAAGAAACCTATTAGAAGCACGCTGAAAAAATATTTTTTCTATATACTTTCAATGTGTTTTTTTAATATGATTTGACGCATTTGCCGGTTTTTTCCCCATATTGACTGAGAATTATCGCATTCATCAGCTCAACAATATATATAAAGGGAGAAACAATTTTCTGTTAAAAGAGAACTCGACTCACTATTGGAAGAAATATCTGAACTATCATTTGTTTGTTACTTGAACAATACATTATCTTCATTTAAAAATTATTTTTATTGGTAAGTTATCGAATATACTGGAATGCCGAGAAGCACGATTGTTGAGCTCTCACTGCGTCCAAACAGAAATCTCGAGGTATTAGACGAGGTATTGAGCTGAAAGCTTTTATATACAAGTGTCAATTACTAGACGATTCGCAATTCAAAACTCTTTATTTGTATAAAAAAATATAGGTAACTGTTTCAGTACCCAGACAAACAGATATTTCGAGAAAGTACAAGTTTTGTACATGAACGAAACAAACTACTCAAAGTTACTCGAGAATCATTTTGGATAAACTTCGCAGTAAAACATCGATTTTCACTAACATTTTCAGAGTTATTCCGATATTTTGAAAGAAAGTTTGTTCTCAAATATAAGACATACGCGTCAGATATTTTCAGAGTTGAGAATACAGGATCGTATCAGGATTTACTCAAGATCCTTGATAGGATCAGAAATGATAGCCACATGCATCAAGGATCTTGGCAAGAGAATAACAAAATAAATCACGATTGGAAACTAAGAAATCATGCTGAATTTTGATAAGGTTCCTGAAAAGGATTGTTGTTCAAGAACAGACATTTTGAATACCTCAAAAAATATATAGGTATGCTCAAGATCTTGATAAGAAAATACAGCGAATCAGTTCGAATCTTTTTAGGTTTGCTTTTAAAAGCTATTCAAAATATAATTTCTAGGATTCTGTCAGGAACCTAACAAGAATGTAAACTATTCAGAGTATTTGAGAATAATTTTTTAAAACTTATTGCTATCACTAAAATAGATATTAATTGAAGAAAGACTGGCGACTCTTAACTAAGAAGGAAGGATACTACTGGCGGAAACAAGTTTCGGAAGAGACCTTAGCATTAATTGTCGCTGCAGTTGGAAATTACCTAATATTCATTTCGAATAAAAAGACATAAATATCTTTTAATAGAAGCACGATAGAGATATGCGATGTTCAGCATTGGTAGATAAAGGAAATAATGCAACAAACTTGTTTTATCGAATTTCTGATACAGTTTTTGAGTTTTTTTCTGATTTACTTAAAAAGCATAGGTTTTAGGTGAATCTACATAGTAAACTTTCACCACAATATATCTTTTTCTTTTAATTTTATCAAAAAACTCTTAACTTTTCGTGAGTGAATGTCTACAATTCATTATAAGCTGGCTCTAGTAGTGTTCGGCTTGCTCTGTTTTACAGGTCTTTGATCCCCTAGTTCTGATAGACGGCTCAACATCGAAAATTCATTGTGCTGACTTCATGCTCTAGATGAGGGTGTGGGTGTGAGTCTTTTCTTGAGCCACATCCACACCCACTTACACCCACATCCACCCACACCCACCCACACCCACACCCACACTCGCCCACACCCACACCCACACACCCACACCCACACACCCACACCCACACACCCACACCCACACTCGCCCACACCCACACCCACACACCCACACCCTATCCTTCATACAATTTTTACATCATTTGATCTTTTCTTTGAAGAGTTATAGATTTTGTAAGATACCGAATAACGTGGTTTTTCACATGCTGAATGAATGTAAATTAAGCATGAGAATACTTGTTTTCGACGATACGGAACCTACTAGCACTATCACTTTCAATTGTGAAAGCTTTATAAACATATTATCCTATGTCTTGATTATTCTCTTTTGTAGCTATGAATAGTGAAGGAAGCAGACAATGCTGTTTCTTTTCGTAGAATCGGTATAAAAGAAAATTAAGATATGCATCAATGTTTGCGAAGAAAAATGTAATTTTATTTTGATTTGTGGTAATGCTACTCTACAATTTTCTCTTTCTTGACAGCTTACGTATTCGATATTTTGTTGATTTCTGCTTAGTATTGTGATGCATTGTTTGGTAGAATATTATATATTCTCTTATGAGAGTTTCAAAAAGGCAACCTCTTTTATTGAAATGAAAGAGAAAAACAAGAGAACGTATAACTACTAATGATGATGTCATACCACCGAACAATGCATCACAATAATAAACGAGAATAAACAAAATATCGAGTAAATAAGCTGTGAAGAAAGAAAATTGTAGAGTAGCATTACCACAAATCAAAATAAATTCGCTGTTTTTCCTCGTAGACATTGACGCATATCTCAATTTTCTTTTATGCCGATTCCACGAAAAGAAACAGCATTGTCTGCTTCCTTCACTATTCATAGCTACAAAAGAGAATAATCAAGACATAGGATAATATGTTTATAAAGCTTTTACAATTGAAAGTGATGGTGCTAGTAGATTCAGTATCGTCGAAAATAAGTATTTTCATGCTTAATTTACATTCATTCAGCATGTGAAAAACCATGTTATTCGGTATCTTACAAAATCTATAACTCTTCAAGAAAAAAATCAGATAATGTAAAAATTTTATGGAGGATAGAGCTAGAGCCAGGCTACATTCTGCTGTAATTTGAGCCTATATTGCTATAGAAACTATGGGAGTGATGTATCGAAAAAGATATCCGTTTGTAAAAACACATAGAAAAATTTTCCATTCACAATGCCTCGCATATAGCTAGATGCTCCCCGCACCGCTCTATCGAATGACCAAAAGCTGAACTCGATAGCTATCAACAGTGAAGAGTTATTCAAAAAATGGCGGCCCGCATTTAAAAAGAATCCGACGATAGTGCTTCTAATATTCTATCTTCAATGCAACTCATCCTTTCAGTAGAGGGTTAGCAGCGTTTGCGCTGCATTACTTGTACTTAGCGAATACTAAGAAAAACACCCAGACTGCACGTCATTATTACAATCATCTTTTAAGGGCTTGCATATCTGATCTTACCCAATCGTTTGGGCCATTTGAGACTGAATCCAAACTTAAATCTAATTTCAAATACAAAGTAAACAATAACAATAACTACGAAAGAATTATCTTATTGTGTTGACTGGTATCAACTTTCTTCTGTTTAATTTTCTTATTGATTATTATTATTGTCCTTTCTATCGATCAGTCCTGTGCATTCTCTATTTCAGAAAAAATACCGAAATTGTCGACATTTTCAAGAAGTTTTCTAGAAAATAACTTCAAATTGATGATAGAACGCAACATACAAGAATAGTTGATTGTCAGTTTTTTTTTGTCGGAGTAAACGAATAATGAGCAACATTGTGATCGACGAACATTTTACGACGCTTCGAAAATATAGAACAAATATTAGCAATGAACAACTTAAAACATCATTCGATGCATTCGTTTCTACATTAAAAACCATCGATATAAGTGATGATCAATGTGAACTGATCGAACAAATGATTTCCGTACTGACAAGTTTATCTTATTGGAATAAGAAACTTGTCGAATCTGATCTAATTACACATGAATTTTTTATTATCTTACGTGACAATGTCATTATCGATTATCTTCGTCGAAGAGAAGCTGAAGATCATAATTCACAGAAACTCTTAATGAAAGTTTCAACGTTGTTTAGACAGCTATGCTATCATATCAACAATACCAATATTGCTAGATTCAAGCAACTGCTTTTTCATCAGCCATTAATTGATGAACTTGCGAGCTGTCTTAACGAGATTAGCACACATGGCAAATATTTAGATTGTTCTCCACTTCTCCGTTCAATTAGCTTTCTATTAATATCATTCAAATGTATTATGAGACATCAGATCATGACAAATGAGTATTTGTTGACTACATCCATGTTTTTTGCAGTTGTTCGCTGTTTATGTTCTTCATATGCTATTGACATGATCAGAAGTTTGGAAGAAAATTTCACTCAAAAACTCAATGATGGTCAAGTATTGTTTTTAGATTCAATGCCATGGTTTTTACAATGGTATTCAGATTATCGTGATCCTGAAAATTTTGTTAAGATCTTACGAATGCTATTGAGTGAATTTACAGCATGGTTCACTAGTTGTCAACCAGATACTTATTTTCAATGTCGTTCTGCGGTTAATAGTATGATTCGTCATCTAAATTATTTTCTTATCCGTCCTTTCGAATCGGGCAACTTGAAAATTATTAGTGATGAATTTTATCATGATTACTGTAAATTGGTTTTACATTGGTCATCAATTTTGTCATCAACATTAAAATGTCCGTCGAATGCGATAATTGTCAAATCAGCTACACAAGCTATCGTTCAAACTTTATATAATTTTACACTTCATTTGAACGTGCTAAGTTTTATGAAAACAGTTTCGAACTTGATTCCTATGCTTTTAGAAATAACTGATGATAAGCTCGATGAAATACAATTGTATGCTTACCGTTGCTTGGGCAAAATGATGATAGAAACAGATATTAAAACTATAGCAAATCCTGGTAAAATTACGGCTGTACACATCGAATTCATTACAAATACTATCGACGATCCAAAACAAGCAGAACGATTTTATAGTCTGCTAGAAAGTATGAAAAGTAAGTTATTACTGATCATCGTATCTGTCTTTTTAATCTCGAATATGAATTCACATTGAAACTCTTTCTAGATTATGTTCAACATGATCAAGTAAAAGTTGAACTCATAAAACAGAAAGTAGTTCCTTTACTAATCAAATGTGTCGTAGAAACTCAATTTGATCCAGTCAAAGTACAACTAATAGCTCTTGAAATTCTTCTTGCTCTCTCGTTTGACAACAATGCCTACTGTATCCTGAGACAAAATCAAATTCTCATGAGTCACATTCGAGTTCTTGTAGGCAATACTAATCCGGCTGAATCATATTTACAACGAGCAGCAGAAAGGCTTCTTTGGAGATTAGAAAAAGAAGAAGCCATTATTCAATCAACAGTTTTGAATGTGCACAAATATGATATCATGATCAGTTATTCACATGAAGATCAACAGATATGTTTTCAAATTCAAGAACAATTAGTGAAAGATGGATTTCGTGTATGGATTGATAGAGATTATTTGCGAGGATTTATAATGGCTGGCATAGCAAATGCTATCGAAAATTCTGAATGTGTACTAATCTGTATGTCTAGCAAATACAAACAAAGCCCCTACTGTCAGTTGGAAGCTTATTATGCATTTGAACGAGGCTGTCGTCTCATTCCAATTATCATTGAATCTAATTACAAACCTGATGGATGGCTTGGTATTATTGTAAGTGGCAAGATCTATGTAAACTTTACTCCGATTGAATTCGCAATGGCTTACGAAAAATTGAAGAGTGAGATTAGTGACAAGCGATGCTACGATTTCAGTCAACCGTCAACTAAATCAGAGGAGAAATATAATATTGATACAGTTACCATGAGCAAGGAACATACTGAATTAACTTCCGAATCAATCATGTGAGTTTCTTTCAATCAGTCTCTGTATGCATAAATGATTCACCCTACAAAAAGTCATACATATGAAGGTGGCAATAGAAAAAGTATTTCTGCTTGACGTTTTGCAGGGTGAAGCATTTTCATTAGAAATGGGATAAACTCCCGTTCTCGGGGAATATTATTCAACCTTTTGCAAAATGTTTTATTTTAATGCCATATGATGTCAATCTTTTTAGTAATTTACCTACTTGTCTTACTCAATGGACTCATGATCATACAAAATCATTTCTTCTAGGATTCGGTCTTGAAAACATTATTCTTTGTCTTTGCCCAAATGTGGATGGTCCTCGTCTTCTACAACTTTATCAGATGTGTCTCATAAATCCAGAATCGATGTATCAATCATTGAAATTTGAACTGAACGAAAAACATAGTAAATTACTACCTATAGCTGACTATCTAAATTTTCTTCGTGAGATCAAACTATATGTTCCATAGATTTTTATAAATGTCAAAAATTATGCAATCGTTGTTTCTTACCTTTTCATTTTGTGACGTTGTATGGAAATATTTAAATCAAATAAATGACATCAATCGAGATTCAGATTTTCTAATTAATATAAAAAAATTGTGTTTCACTGTCGTTTTTTATACAAACTGCAATTCTTTGCTGAATTTCGTTGCTCGATCTGAATCACATTATCTAGCGAAATTGATCGGTTTCTTAACAATCTTCGCTTCAACAATGATACGTTCTTTATCTAGAAGTATCGATTCGTATCTACATCAATGAAAAAGTGCAATATCTTAGGAATCGAATAGCTATGGGTACGTGTCGATATGAATCCAACTTTCACCGATACTCACTCACTACCAACTTAATCTAAGATGAATTGAAGATTAATTGAGAAAAATGGTCCTCTTTTTTAACAGAAGAGCTTTGCTGAAATATACAGTTCTATTGTCAGGAAACAGATGAAAAGATTATTTTGGTTTTCGAAAATCCCACCTTCATGAAACCTAGTAAGAAACAATCGGTGGCAATTAGCTTTTGCTCGATTCTTCATTGTTTGGCGCTTGACTAATTAAAATTTGATTGTATTTCTTATTGGAGTAATTATTTACTCGAAGTTGAAAGCTTCGATTGATTAATGATTTGAAAAGAATAAGAACTTTGGTATGAAAATGTAACTGTATTGTTAGAGTTAACAAGTGAAATGATAAGTCACAACCATGCGTTGTTCTTCTACTTATTGAACTAATTCAAAAAAGTCGACGATCGAACGGAATTTCCATTTGATTGCAGAATCGTAATGTAAGCGTCGTCACAGTGGCTCTGATGATGTTGACTTCAATTATTATGACTTCGTTTATGTAAAAACAGACTATCAGCATTAAGGAACAACTCTACTTTGAATAACAGCTATTAATAATATTTCTTTTTTGTATATTCGCTATTGCCATCTTTGACAGCCATCTATATCTGTTTTTTTCTGTCCTATGAGTTGAGTTGACATTATTGGATAAAAATTTAACGTGTAATTATGGGTGTGAGGTGTGAGGTGTGGGTGTGGGTGTGAGTGTTGGTATGGGTGTGAGTGTTGGTGTGGGTGTGGGTACAGCGGAAAACAATACCAACACCCACACTCATATCTACACCCACATCCACACCCACACCCCACACCCCACACCCATACCCACACCCACACCCACACCCACACACCCACACCCACACCCACACCCACACCCACACCCACACCCACACCCCACACCCACCCCACACCCTTGATAAATAATGATTTAAACAAAATTATAGATCAACAATATTATTAAAGATCAGTGTTCGATCTGAGATAGAAGATTGGATTTTTTTTCTAACCAAAGAAAGTTTTTTTGAAAGATCAACCATTTTTTTTTAATGAATCTATCCCGATTAGTGTTAAAATTGAAAAGAATATTGAATTGTACAAATGAATCAACGAAGGTCGAACATATGTAGAAAAAGACAGTTACTGTCACATTTCCATGGTAATGTGACGGTAACTGCGTTTCCCTGGAAAATAATGGTATCTTGGACTTTTCTGTAAGATATTTTTTCTCATACAACTCGACAAGTTCTATCACAAAAATAACGAAAAAAATCTCCCGAAATTTCAATTATGGAGTACGTTACATACATTGTGAATACCTTAAAATTTGAATATCGCACTCTAGATACGCTAACAATAGCATATATTTTAAATTTGCTAGTATGCAAGTAAAAGCTTTAATTTGATCCGAATATATCTGATCTTATTAACTAATAAAAATCATGAAGTTGATTCTCTTTAAGAATCAAGTCGACATTGAAAGAGTATACAATAAATCTTTTGTGTATAATAAGATTAAAAAGTGAATTAACTTCTTCTCTTATTTATCTCATATTGAGATATTCTTTATTTCATCTAAGAACTGACGATATTGACTGTTCAATATCATGTACTTGGTGCTCAAGCGGCACCATACTTATCGAGAGTATATGTGGGTGTGGTTATAGATAGAACATACACTTACAGCCACAGCCGCACCCTACTACTTTCTTAACAGCAACCTATTACGCAAATGTCGATATGTTTGGTTGTCATGGACTTTTTGAATGAAATGTTGCTGATGTTTAGTCTTGAAGCAATCAAATATATGTAGCCGTTGCATGTCTTTAAGCATAGAAAAAATTTTAAATAGTCGCGTGTAAAAAGAAAGAATAGAAATCGAATCGATAATGGTTACTGATTCGCTAACATCAATTTTGTAAAAGAGAACGTTTTTTTATTATTTAACCACTATATACAAAAGCATTAGAAAAAAAATTCAATTTGTTTCACATAGAACAATATTAAAATTTAACAAGATGATAAATTCATCTTGGCCAAATACACCATGTCAAATGCAAAGACCATCATTAATTGAGGATGATGATGATGATCATACTAATAATAAGAATGGAAAACAATTGCTATCAAGAAGTCTTACATTTGATAGGGAACCATTAAAACAAAAACGAATAAAAAGACTAAGTCGATCATCACCAGCTATAATTGAACAACGACTACAATGTTTAGATCGAAGTTTACTTAGTAATGATAATTGGCGGCAAGAGACAATGGCTGACGTTCGTATTAATGCTAAAAACGATTGAATAAAGTGATTAAAATATTCTCTTTGGCAAAGGTAATATTTCAATTAAAAATAAGTCAATATAAATATTTAATTCAGGTGTTGATCCTCTACCATATGTACGTGACATGCTTAATGAATTGAGTAATACAGAAGCTTTTCTTTATGCTCGACAATGTCGTGTTGTTGCTGCTAAATTACGTTTATGTTGGAGTGATGTTAATGAAGAAATAAAATCATTATTAAAACATAAAGAATATACAGAAGCAGCTATTGAACATATTCGAAAAGATTTAATAATTAATAAAGAGAGTGTTAAAATACAAAAAAGAAACAAAACGAGAAGCGCTAGTTTTATTTTATATTTTTAAAAGATATTTGTATTCTGATCAATAGGAACCTGATGATGTTGATGATAGACTTGCTGCAGAAAAATATTATTTAATATTATTGATCAAATACAGGTATAAAAAATCTTGAATGATTTTTTTTATTAATTAAAATATTTAGAAACTTGATGAAGTTCGTTAACATGTAACTAAAATTGGTAGAAAACATTTGAATTGGCTCTTTTTGAAAAGTAAATAATCATTTTATGCAATATTATTTGTTTTTTTTTATAGATTAGATAATTTATATCAACGTCAACCACCATATTGATAGTACTTTCTCAACTATTATCAACTCTTGGCTTTCGTCTACCATGTACACCTCAAAATAATCCAATAACTTCATCTAATTCAAATTTAAATAATACAAATATTTCAACAGAAGCAACATTATTGAATGAAAATAGTTTACCACTTGTTGGAAATTTACTTGCTTTTAGATCAGATGTTATACAAGTATATCAAGATGCAACAAAATTAATTGAAGAATCATGTGAAATTAAAAAACAAGCGATGAATCAAATAAAAGATGCAAAAGCTTATTCATTAAGTGTTAATCAAAGTATTGCTCAAAAACTTGCGGATATTATTACATTAGCTGTAAGAATATTGTTTCATTTTAAAGATTATAGTTTTGTTAGAATTAAGAATTTCTAATAGTAATGTAAGTTAATTGAGACGATTAAAGATTGTTAAGATCTCAGTCAGAATTAGTCATCCAGGATATACAGATGACCAACTACATACAATTTAATTTAATTCATTCAAAGAGAGGTTTTTGACTAAACTTGCAATTTTCGAAATGTTTTAATCAATTCAGCTCAACTGAATTCATCAATTTTGAAAATTGTTATCAGGTGATTACACTCAATTTAAGATTTAAACTAAGCTGAATCGACCTTTTTGCATTGAATTGTTCAATTCTGATCTCGGTCATTCTTAAGGGTGTGGGTGCGATTGTGGTCTGGAGTTAGTTAAAGTGTGCACCCACGCCCTTTTTTTTT